AAACGGAGCACTTCTGTGAGTTACCTTGAACAATCAAGCAATAAATAACAAATTCTTACGTGCTGTTCTCTACAAAGGTGAATGGCAGGTCACTCACTGCGATCATATGCACCATCATGGCTGTGTTTGTCTTTGACGTGCCTTATCAGGTTTGTTGTGTTAAATGCAGCCTTTTCCTTTCCACCTCTTGCAATCCCAAATTTACATATCTCACAGTTTGCTATGTGAATGTTGTCATCATCAACTTTATAATACCTACAGACCGCAGATATACTTGTGCTTTCTGCTTCAAGCTGCTTCCATGTTCTACTTTCCCAGCATTTAACTAATAGCGTCTCTGCAACAAAGTGATGTCATGCCGCACGTGTTGCTGTTTCTGTGTGAAGTCAAGAAAGAGGTCTGACTCTGTGTCACCGCATAACTATAGATGTGTTATAAAATAATGACATATATATTCGAGTCCTGATCGGGAGGTAACGTCCAATTCTGATCAAGTCTGAAACCGCGTGATCGGGCCCGATTTCCAATCAAGCGATCAAATCTGGACATCCCTACCATTAATTACTCGCACTCATGTTGTTCCAAACCTTTAAAACCTTTGTTCAATATTATAACACAAATTATGATGTTTCGGATGAAAAAATGTGTTTGTTTTGGCTGTTTTTAATTAAATCTATAAGCATTTGCTTCTGCTCTGAAATAGTAGTTCTTCTCTGGTGATATCAGATTGACCACTTGAGGAAAATATGCTTAGTCATGCCCCTCCAACTGTTTGTTTACTGCAAGTAAAAGATGAGAGAATGAGCACAAAAATAAAAGCTTCCCTACTCAGTATTTCAATTTAGTTGTAAATACATCATCATGTTAAAATGAAAGTCCTATAAGTTCACACAGACTTTTTGTCCTTATGCAGATTTAATATATGGGCAGAAAAATTTATATTTTTGTTTGTGATGGGAAGAAATTTGCCATTTGGTAAACAAACTGTAATTTAAAGCAGTGTTTCTCAACCACGTTCCTGGAGGACCACCAACACTCAAGTTGTCTCCTTTGTCTGTCACACCCATTGCAGGTCTTTCTGTCTCTGTTAATGAGCTGGTGATATGAATCAGGTGTGTGTTTGGTTAAGGAGACATGGAAATGTACAGAGCTGGTGGTCCTCCAGGAACGTGGTTGAAAAACACTGATTTAAAGGGTTAAACTCTTCAAAATGACTGAATTCTTGGTAGTTAGCATAAAAATTGATGTTGATAAAGCAATTTATGTTAGCAAAAGCGCTACAAAATACAATACTTTAAGCATTTCTGTCCTCATCCTTTTCTTAAATCACGCACAAGGGTTTAAGCTGGTTACCATTCACTGCTATTACATGAATGAGACTGAACAGAGCTGAAAATCAACCTGCATCCTGGTCTCTGAGGACACTTCTGTCACCTTCAAGCCTGTCGTTTTAAACGCTTGTGTCAACAATCAATACATTTAGGTTATTATCTTTTCCTTTCCCACTTTCACATCCTGCCTCACATCCTCTCCTGCCCCCTTCTTTCTACCCTTTTCGCCTGCCCGTGTCTTTGTGAATGAGGCTGATGGATGAGAAAGAGTGCGGTGTCCTTTTTGGCCATGTCAATATCCTCAGGTTAATGTGAGACTGGCCAGAATCTGAGTGTGTGTGTGTCTGTGTGTGTGTGTGTGTGTGTGTGCGTGCGTGCGTGCGTGCGTGCGTGCGTGCGTGTGTGAGAGAGAGAGAGAGAAAAAGATTTGGGAGAAGGATGTTACAGGGCAACAGGAGCGGGGTCAACACCCAGCACACCTTAATATTTAATCAGACCATTCCCAGCAACTCTACACCCGACTGAGAAAAGAAACAGGATAAAGTGAACATGCAAGGACATCCGTTGAAAAACAAAATTCCACCGGGTCCAGAATTAACCTCTCTGGTCTAACCTCTCATCAATGGAGACAGAATAAAGAAAATTTACGGGCTATGAAAGAGAGTTTTGAGTTTATTACAATATTTGCCTGGCTATTTCATGGACAAAAATAAAACGATAAAATTGACATATGATATTTCTTATATACATATAATATAGAATATAAACTTAAAAAAACGCATTTCAATAATAATATAAAGGTTTATAACACTAAAAACACAACAGTGATAAGTCTTTTGATAAAAATTCTACTTTTTTAAAAAGATTTACATCTAAAAAAAATTCCTTTAAAGTCTCTCCAGATAAAAATTATTGTCTGATAACATTAAAAAGCAGGCATTGTTATATGTATATGTATGACAGTAAGGTTGTTCTAATGTTGACAATATTAATCTTCTAATTTAAGTAAGCATGAGGGAGTCTACTATGTCAAACACAGCATCTTGTATAGACCATTTTAAAGGATGTTAACAAAAACAATGGTCCCAACGTATTTCCTGTTTTACATTTTTATTTTTTTCGCTTCCGAGAATCCAAAATGAGTCACATATTGATAAATAATGTTATGATAGCAGTTTTAACATTAAGTTATGACTGAATTGCCTCTTGTTACAGTCATGAAATAGCCGTGATAACAAAGCATTATTAAAAACAGTCTAATATATATATATATATATATATATATATATATATATATATATATATATATATATATATATATATATATATATATATATAGCATTTTTATATGAAGTTGTGTGTATACTGTGTATACTGTGTGTACTGTGTAACATGAACTAACAATGAACAATACTTCTATAGCATGTTTTAATCCTACACTCAAGAAATGACATTTGATGTTTGTTTCTACTTATTTAAACTGGCCTAAAACAACACAATTCTTGAGATTTTTTTTGGGACAACTTAATTATTTATGTTCAATCCACTTTAATTTGTAAAAACTAACTTAATTCTTTCACGTTGCCCACAATACACATCAATTGTGTGGAACCCAGGGGCACCACTTGGAAGGGAAGTTACCCCATCCACCACCACCCCATTGCCCGGAACTTTACTTTGAGGGCCCTAAAAAAAATTCTGTCTTATAGGGCTGAACGGTATGAACTGAATCGTGTATGAACTAATACATGCATTAATATACCAGTAAAAATATTAATATAAATTCTCTCAAACACAATTAATTTTCATTTTGTGGAAACAGACATTTTCACTCATCAGTAGTTTTTACATGTGATGTGTTATTTTAAATATGGCACATAATGCAATGAACATAAAAAATTTTAACCCGAATTTTGTTTAAATAAAATAAATTGCATCTAAAATATATATTATACAATTTAATGGTGACAGAATCATTTTAAGAACGCAACTTTTGACCCTTATTGCAAAAGAAAGCACTTCTTGACCTCATATGCTGGGTAAAGATAGCACATGACACTGAGAATAAGGGCCTTAGTTAGATTGAGTAGATAGGGAAAAACAGAGGGAAAGAGACAGATAGGAGAAGACGGAACAAAGAGCAAGAAAATTAAAATGCTGTTCATCACTTCGAAGTCCCGTTTCACTTTCTCCGAGAGGGAGAGAAGAACTGCGGCAAGTGAACTAAAAAAAATCTCACCTTATATAACACGCAGTAAATGAGATATCGCAATTTAGCACAGCACACATTCAGTACATTTACCGTGTCAAACATATTCCTAAAAGGACCGTTTAGGATCTTATATTTCATTCAGGTGGCATTTTACTAAACGCTATGCACTGAGATGCACCATAGAGGTCAAAGCACGGAGACAAACGCACTTTTGCACTAGCTGACTATGGCTTCTCGTGCGATCAGCAGCAGATGGGAGCGAGTACAGTGGTTTTCAGGTGGAGGTGAGGGCAGGACAGGAGAGCAGATGACCCTCTCAGGGGGACCTTCAGTCCCTACTTTAGCAGGCAAGAGTTCGCAGTACTGTCATGCTGTCCATACATCAGCGTTTACAGCACAGCAGGGAGGGACAGAGAGAGAAAAACCTGCTGAGCTTGCAGACTAGAAGGAGTGGTAAAAATTTAACTAGCCTGATGAAAGCATAACTTTGCATGTCAAGTATTTTAAAAGAGAGAGAGGGAAAGTAAGAGAGAGAGAGAGAGAGAGAGAGAGAGAGAGAGAGAGAGAAAGGGTATGCTGTGAAAATTGAAAAAGTCTAGTGAATAGAAAAGGACAAGAAAGCGGTTCCACAAAAGGAATAAAAACCATGCACAATTAAGGTCAAACTATGAGGTCGCAGAGCATTTTCTTGAACACTTGGTTTTTAAAACACTACTGTTGGTGTTTAAAGAAGGGTTTAGCGCAGTGGTTCACTAGTCTAGATGATCTCTGCCTTCTTGTGGACGTATATAAGGACATGTAATTGAAACAAATAACAAAATGTAGCCCAAGTAATGCATTTCACATTCGCAAAAATGTAGACAGCGCCCTCCGGTGGATTTTCTACCAGAAACATGTTACGAAACGTACTTGGAGCAATGTATTTTATGTTTGTACAAAAAGTGTAGGCTGAGGCACTTATTTAAAAGTAGAACTTTATCTTTAAAAGCTACTCAAACATTGAGTTGAATAACTTGGTGAGTTGGCAGGCTGTCCTAAAAACATTCATTAGCACATTCACTTGTCATTTCATGGCTCGAAAGAAGCCAGCTTTTTTTGGTTGAAGTCTCACTACAAACATATTGTGTGCAAATAGAGGCATCTGTAAAAGGTCTGGTGTCTCTCGCCCTTCTCAGTCATGGAGTACGAGTGTTAGGTGAGACTTCTGACCTCTAATTGCTCTTCCGCACCATTTTAAAGGGTGCAAGTGTTGTTTACTCTACTGACAAAGTGTCGATTGGCTGAAATCACAGCTTTCTTCATCCGGCATGGTCCCTCTCTCACTGTACTTTGCACAGATTCATTCAACAAGTAATATTCTGGAACTGAAAACATCTTATGCTCACCTTGTGTTCTCTCTCTCTCTCTCTCTCTCTCTCTCTCTCTCTCTCTCTCTCTCTCTGTGTCTGCATGTGTAGGAGCCGTGCGAGCGTCTAGTATCTTCCCCATCCTCAGCGTCATCCTGCTCTTCATGGGTGGTCTCTGTATAGCTGCCAGCGAGTTCTACAAGTCCCGCCACAATATCATCCTCAGTGCAGGAATCCTCTTCGTGTCTGCAGGTGAGCCTATGGAGTCAATGAAGAATAGGTTAAAAAGGACTAGGTTTTCTATAGGTTACAAAGTCTCTTTACAAGTAACTGGCACAATTGTTTGTTTGTTTGTTTGTTTGTTTTACTTTCCGAGCAGTATTTTTAAACTGTTTAAAAATTGGTCATTCTTTTAAAAAAATTGTAACTATATTTTTGTTTAAAAGTAAACTTTTCACTTGTATTAGTGTATATTTTAGATTTTATTCAAATGAAAATAATAATAAGCAGTCATTGATCCAGTCTTCAGTGTCACATGATCCCTCAGAAATCAATATGCTGATATGGTGCATTATCAATGCTGAAAAAAGGAACTTTTCCATCAACAGAAGGTTCAAAACACAATTCAAGGCATTTTTGTAAAATAAAAAGTATACGGGTCATATCATACATTCAGCGCAAAAAGGCACAAGACATGTTTGACGCAATGTGTAGCTACTTTCCAACGCAACCCTGATTTTCCAGCTTTGCAACACGTTGTTTAAATAGTAAATACATTTGGGCTGCTTTGTGGACTCATGGGTGTGCCAGTCTAGAAAGGAGGTGTGTTAAGGCACATTGTTGGCATGTTGCTATTTTGAGAAACTAGACTGCACAATTGACCAACTGAAAGCAGGTCTAAAGTCCAGTGCAGAGCACGTTAGTTGTGCGCCTTAAACGAGTACACAATGCTCTATACACACAGGATGTACATCAATACACAAGTATCTTTACATATCAAAAAGTATTAAAGGATTAAAATTTTACAAACATTATTATTTTCTACATAAATATATAAACCACTGCCACCATGCCTTCATCATCTCAGGAGGCTTTTTTTTTCCAGTTTATTCATGACAAATTGCATTTCTATAATGTTGTTATAATTATTACACTGTAACCCAACCGTTAACTTTATCATAAAATGAGTCTAGTTAACTTAAAGTGGACAAAATTATTTCTACTCATTTCAAAAGAGTTTTGAACTCAGTGTTGAAGGTAATGAGTTCATTAAATACCTCATTACTAAAATGTAAATGAAGTAAGTTCACAGTACTCAGATTCGTTTTTTAACTCAAATGGTTTGTAGAAATCGGTTTCCTCAAACGGTTTGAGTTGCCTTAACTTATTGGGTTTTACAGTACTCAGTTGGTTTGAGTTCTCTTTATTTTTGGGGGTTTACTGTGCTCAAATTGCTTCATTTACTCAAATAAATTAAGTTTACAGTACTCATTAGGATTCGTTTTGGAAATTAAATAGTTTGTTGCAATCGGTTTTCTCAAATGGTTTGAGTTACCTTAACTTTTTGGGTTTTACAGTGTAGTATAATTTATTTTAAGCATATTTTTATTTGTTTTAATAAAAACAACTTTAGATTTGTCCACCTGTTGGGTTTTGGAGATGTCTGCATCATCATATTGGGCATGAGAATAGGACGTGTGTTTGAATTTAACTCAGTTTTTTGACCACACTTTATTGTTATAGTTAATTTATTAGTCTCCTGGAAATTAGATTTGAATTTAGAAATAGTTTTAAAACAAATCTTTGAGCTTAACAAACAATATTAAATATGTAGTAGGCTATGGATGTCTTCAGTGGAGTGCACACAACACCATTTCCTTTTTCTTGAAAGTAAGGAGAAAGTAAAGAGGCTGAATGAAGAAGGCTGAATCTGTTTTCTCGCTAGTGAAGCGTTCAGTTTTTCTATTTAGTTTTTCCACTTACAAAGCCGCCATGTAAATAGCAAATGTGCCATAGTGCAATGCTACTGACTCTTAAAGGGAATGGGAGATGAGACTCTGATTGGTTTAATGTTCATTATACTCAAAACACAGCCATAACTCATTAAGAGAATAAGCACAACCCTGTTAGAAATAAGTTTTTGCTTTCCTCATTTGATAAAAATAATGGCATAAAAGGGCAAACATTAATAATCAATTCATCATTTTCAATCCCTTCTAACTCGTGCTAACTGTCAAACTCATCTTAGTTCACCAATCAGAGAAGATTGCAAGCAGAAATTGCCAAAAACAAATTTAAATAACCCTCAATGTTTACGTCTTAAATATATGATGCATGAACAAGATCAAACTTTGTAAGGCACTGACCCAGTTGAGTCAACTGGCCTAACGCTTTCAAACTGACCCCGCAATACTCCATGATAATGCAATTCAGGAAAGCGAACATTGTCAAAAAGCAACAGCTTTGATGTTAGCCACAAATCAGCACTGCATAACTTTGACTCAAAGACTTTATCCAACCCGCTGCCTCAGTGTTGATACAGTTATCAAGTCAGTTTTTCTTCTATTTTTTTTTAAAAAACTCACTTTGGTCCTGATTCTGTTGCTAGGCTTAGAGGGGCCATTTGGGATTAAAGTCTAAAAATATGGTGTCCCTGACACACTTTCCCAGTGATCCATCATGGTGGTTTGACTGTGTCACAGACGACTCCAGCAGAGTGTGAGTGAAGTCAGCAGTGAACCACAGATCATGTTCCTGTGAGGTCAAGCACCGCAGCCTCACTCTCAACTCCTCATTTACTTGCTCATGCTGACAAATTAAGGCTCTCAGCGCTTAGTTTATAGCTAAGGGGTTAAGGAAATTGTCAAACCGGCTCTGTTAACCTTACCATTCAGAGGGCAGTTGCACTTTATTTTGTGAGATGACAGCAATGTTCTGTGAACATTTAGGTGCTGTGCATCCAGGTAGATCTAACCAAAAAGTGACGGATGAACTAAACACATTTAACAGCGGTGAATCTCTGTTTTCCAGCAGTATTGTGACGACACGCTGAGACTTTTTTGATGCTAATTTATTTATTTATTTAACAGGGACATGCACAAAAATTACATTAACCACAAAAAGGAAATATACATTGTGCCAGGTTGTAGCAGGATTGCTTTTTTGCACCTGCAGTCCCTGACAGGTAAAAATTAAAACAATAAAAATCAATTAATTAAAAAGTCAGGTTAAAACATACAGGCATAATCACATATAAACTAAACACTGATAAATCAAAAACATCTCACTCAGTGTGTACAAATTTGATTCGACAAAAATCAACTCCTAGGCATGAAAACATCTATAATTTGTACATGTGATTAATTCTGTTGGGAGAGAATTCCATAGATTTGTGGCTTCATAAATAAAAGAAGAATGATTGAAAGAAGTTTTACTTCTATGCACAATACATTCCCCTCCTACCATAGAATGTGTCATTTGCGATGTTTTATCTAATTTGGATATACATTTTTTTATTAACAATGGAACCGAAAGATTGTGAATAATTTCAAAAACAAAAACAAATATTAGAATATTTCAGATCAGGGTGCCCAAACTTTTTCGTATAAAGGGCCAAAATCTAAGCTTGATTGAGAGCTGTGAGTTGAAAGTGAATATTGCAAATTGTATAACGTTAAGGTTGCCATGGGTCATTCCCTAATTTATCTCTTAAAATTTAATAATTAAATTACTTCTACCTAATTATTCGAAAATGTAAACTATTTTAATGAACCTATTACAATAAAAACTGGCGTTCAATGCCAAATACACTAGTCATGCTGAACCTGCCTTTGCCTTGATTTGCATGCTGATGTCTTCTGCTTTGTCGTCTATTTGTTAAGTGACAACATGTAGATTTTTTAAAAATCTAATTAATTTACAACATTTAAGTAATTAATTTACTTTTCAGCTTAGTCCCTTCATTAATCTGGAGTCGCCACAGTCGTTACCCATCCCAATCATTTGCCCTCTGGTGGGCCAAATCAAAGTATACAAAGGGCCAACTTTGGCACGCGTTAGAATTGAATTGAATGAACTAAATTGGCCCTAGTGTATGAATGTGAATGTGAGAGGGTATGGGTGTTCCCCAGTACTGGGTTGCAGCTGAAAGGGCATCCGCTGCCTAAAAATTTTTCTGGATAAGTTGTCGGTTCATTCCGCTGTGGCGACCCCTGATAAATAAAGGGACTAAGCTGAAGGAAAATTATTAAATGAACGAATGTTTGTGGGGATCAAAAAAAAAAGCTCAAAAGCAAGATGTTAAAATGTTATATATGTATGTTATATGTGCTGTTTTTTCTACATAAAAGGCCAAACATTCAAACAAACCTCTTGTATAAAGAATGTCTTTTTTCAATATGAAGTTAATTTGGTGTTTTGGTAGTGTCTGGCAGTTTTGCGAAGGGGTGGAAAATGGTTTAACTTTTCAAAATGTAGTCTACCTTCTCAGCATTATGATACGCTGAACTAACATAAATGTAACAAACCTAAAAATTATGACATGAAGGAGATTCTGACTTAACTGCTTTTAAAGATTGCTTTTTTGACTGCTGTCACTTCCTCATGCTCAAATTATTTAAAGTGACAAACCACTTTTTATTTTAGTTGTATGGTGCGGCACTTAGTGTTGTGGCATTAAGGCTGACATGAATTTAATATAATTTAAATGTGAAAACTAATACACATTTTATAATATACACGTCTTGTTAATATTGGTAACATTTCTAATCAGTACTATTTGACTGAATATGCACAGATGTACACTACTTGACAAAAGTCTTGTCGCTGATCCCAGTTGTAAGAGCAACAAATAATAACTTGATTTCTAGTCATTTATTTCTGATGAATCATCTGTTGAACTGCATCCCAATCATCACAAATACTGCAGAAGACCTATTTGAACTAGCATCACCCCAAGATTCCCACAAAAATCTGTCAAGATTGAAGAAAAAAATCATGGTTTGGGGTTACATTCAGTATGGGGGCGTGCGAGAGATCTGCAGAGTGGATGGCAACATCAACAGCCTGAGGTATCAAGACATTTGTGCAGCCCATTACATTACAAACCACAGGAGAGGGCAAATTCTTCAGCAGGATAGCACTCATTCTCATTCTTAAGCCTCCACATCAAAGTTCCTGAAAGCAAAGAAGGTCAATGTGCTCTAGGATTGGCCAGCTTAGTCACTAGACATGAACATTATTGAGCATGTTTGGGGTGAGATGAAGGAGGAGGCGTTGAAGATTAATCTAAAGAATCTTGAAGAACTCTGGGAGTCCTGTAAGAATGCTTTCTTTGTTATTCCAGATGACTTTATTAATAAGTTATCTGAGTCATTGCAGAGATGTATGGATGCAGTCCTCCAAGCTCATGGGAGTCACACACAGTATTAATTATTTTTCCACTGCATCATGACTTCATATTCTACACTGTATTTTAGTTCTGTTATGTGACAAGACTTTTGTCTAACAAAGTCAGACCTTACCTAATTAAATAATAAAAAATTAAGGCATAACCATGTTTTATTCTGGCTAAAAAAAAAAAACTCCAAATGATCAATTAGAAGTCAAGTCTTTCCCAAAAAGCAAGACTTTTGTTAGGTAGTGTACAGTGCATATTAAAATTAAAATTACAAAACATTACCAACATACATATAGCTAACATTTTATATTATGGTTATTATTTATGATTTTATATGTTGTTATCAATCAGTTAAAGTCTGCATGTAATCAAAATTGACAACAAAGCTCGCAATGCTCCTCTTGAGGTGAATAATTAATTGTTGAAATGTGAATTAAAAAAAAATGTTTGCATTTATAATCTTTAATTAAAATCTGGAGAATGTGCTTCTGCTTTCTTTCTCTGATGATATCAGTTTGAGCTTCAGCAAGATATATTTAAGCTATCCCAGAATTCTGCACATTGTATTAAAGTTGTTATACATTGGATTAATGTATAGCTTTAGTTAAAAAGGAAAATTATGAATAATGTTGGAAAACATGAAGTGAATAACTCTTACATACATTTACACTTACATATAGTGCAAAAGAGTATTTTCAGAAAAAAAAACTTCCTAGTACAGTCAGCAGTTTGTAATATGAGGTTGTTCAAATTAATGATGAATGAGGAACATAAAGGGTAAAGAGGAACACACAGCAGGAAAGAATACAGATCCATGTCTTGAGTTAGGACTCGGGATGCTGCTCAACATGCAATGCACCACAGTGTGCCTTTTTCATTCAAATACATTATCAATATCATAAATCTTGGTTAACACACAACAGCTTTGCCCTTGAGTGAAGATCATGTATTGTGCTTCTTTTGGCAAAATGCTTGCCTTTCTATAAGGAACAGTACACAATATGCATATATATATATATATATATATATATATATATATATATATATATATATATTTTTTTTTTTTTTTTTTTTTTTACCAGTACAAAAAAATGTCTTATAATATTGTTAATGACAAATTGCAAGCACATCTCAAACACAATAATTCAACATCAGAATTAATTATGAAAAGTTGTATTCTGATGTCATCACTTTACTGTGCATTAATGACCAGGAAAAAATTTTAAGTCTGTTCAAGTCCACCATTCCAAGTCTGTACAAAATCTCTAGGAAGAGTTCTGGTGGTTCCAAACATCTTCCACTTACGGATGATGGAGGCCACTGTGCTCATTGAAACTTTTAGAGCAGCAGAAATGTTTCTGTAACCTTCCCCAGCCTTGTGCCTCGAGACAATCCTGTCTTGGTCTACAGACAATTCCTTTGTCTTCATGCTTGGTTTGAGCTTTGATATACACGGTCAACCCTGTGACCTTATATAGACAATAAATCATGTCCAATGAACAACAATTAAGCTGCTGAAGCATCTCAAGAGTAATCAGTGGAAACAAAATGTACCTAAGCTCAATACAAAGCTTCACAGCAAAGACTCTAAATAGTTATGTACATGTGATTTTTCAGGTGTTTTATTTTTAATTAAATTGCAACAATTTCAAAAACTCTTTTTTCACATTGTCATTATGGGCTATTGTATGTAGAGTTTTGAGAAAGTAAATCAATTGAATCCATTTTGGAATAGGTCTGTAACATAAAAATGTGGAAAAAGTGAAGCGTTATGAATACTTTACGGTTACACTGTATTAACCATTTACACATGCTCAAAAGAAGATCTTATCCAATGTTAGTCAATGTATGAATTCCCAGGATTAACAATTAACCCCTGATGAGGTATGAACAGGGTGATGACAATTTAACAAGGGTGATGCTTCTTTTCTGAACCCACACTAGGTTGTGAATCAGCTTTTACCCATGATTACTGGTTTAAAACCTCTTCTCTCTTCCCCCACAGGCCTCAGTAACATCATTGGCATGATCGTGTACATATCAGCCAATGCGGGGGATCCCTCAAAGAGCGACTCCAAGAAGAACAGCTACTCATACGGCTGGAGTTTCTACTTTGGTGCTTTGTCCTTTATCATGGCTGAAATGGTGGGTGTGCTGGCCGTGCACATGTTCATCGACCGGCACCGGGAGCTGCGGGCGGGCGCGCGGGCAGCAGATTACCTGCAGGGCTCGGCTATCACGCGCATCCCCAGTTACCGGTATCGCTACCGGCGCCGCTCCCGCTCATCGTCCCGCTCCACGGACCCCTCGCATTCCCGAGACGCCTCGCCGGTGGGATTGAAGGGTTTCGGGGCTCTACCTTCCACCGAGATTTCCATGTACACACTCACCCGCGGGGGAGACACCCTAAAGGGCGGCCACGGCACCCCCACCGCCACCTACAATTCAGAGAGGGACCACAACTTCCTCCAGGTCCACAACTGCATCCAGAAGGACCTGAAAGACTCATCCAACACAGCCAACCGACGCACCACCCCTGTATGAGGCACAACCTCTCCCCGTACAGATAGCAGGGCAAGGGAGACGGGAGCGGAGGCCTGGAATATTACAGATCAAACTTCATGTACCATGCGTTTTCACGATTCGGAGGAACCGGGAGGATTTTTGCGTTTCGATCAAAGATTACACATGTATGCATGATTTTGCCATTTGCCATTGACAAATTGAGGCTGGTTTGAAATGGAGACAGGCGATAAGAGATTTGCAGAAGGGTTCTTTCAGCCTGTGACGTGGGAGCTGTAGCTTGTGGCATTGATTTGACATGTTTTTGTTAAGAAAGCATTCCTTCAGCACCCATCGGTCTACACGGATCATCAGCAAGCTACTGCTCCCTCATAAGTCTTCTTCCCTTCTCCACTATATTCGTCATATTCATTTATTTGTTCATTTGTTATTTGCATTCAAAGAAAAAATGAGAAAGAAACAAAAAAAAACTGTGAACCACCGCAGTAGGGTGTTCAGTAAGAAACAGCCCGGTCTGCAATCTCTTACACAAGGTACAACATATATATACACGTATAGTATATATATATGGATGTATTGATTTTATATAGAAATTAACATAATAATCAAGACTTTTCTGAGGTAAAACTGCTGTTTGCCGGGTAATGATCTGTTGGGAAAAGAGACTCTGTGGCCCTGAGCTGCGACTGTGGCCGGACGATGGATGAAATCATGGAGGATCTTCACCGCAAAGCTGCTCTAACACGAGACTGACAAAGACGTTCAACCTTAGACAAAAATCTATTCTTTTAAAAGAACCTTCTCATCTTTTTCTCAGTCCCTGTTTGCTTCCTTTTTTTCTCTCCTCTCGCATTCGGTCGTCACGAGAGCGAACAACAGAAACAAAAAAAAACTTACGCAAAGACCTTCGCTGACAAACAGAGGGTCAGAGTTCGCTGAAAGACTCCAGAAATGACTGCCAAGACGAAAAAAAGGAAGGAGGAGGGGGGAGGAAAAGAAGAGGATGCTGAACTCTAAACAAACACTTGCAGGAACGCAAGCGACAAACAAAAGTACGAAATATTACGAGAAACGAAGCTAAGTGACTCACGAATACAAAGATTAAATGCATGCTATAAATTTACAGCAAACCTGCTCTTGAAACTTAAGTTTTAAAGGATAATGATAATTATAAAGGGAAAAGCAATGTTAAAAAAAGTTAACTCTTAATGTTTTGTGTACTCTTTCTGTTTTGGTTTCTATTATTATTATTATTATTATTATTATTTATTATTATAATTAATCATTATAATAATATACTTTGATGATAAACCAAGCGAACAAATTACAGCAAAACTGCTTTTTTTCAATTCTGACTTCTTTCTTTGTATCCACGTGTTTTTCTTTTACTCAGAATCACACGCCTTAGTCATTTCATCTTTCTTTGGATTCATTTTAAAATGTGTCATTTTCTTTGAAATGAAATCTAAAGGTGCCAAAACAGAATGATCCTAAACTTGGATGCATCAAGTCCTGATGAATAAACAGACAAACCCAAGGGGGAACAAACTCGCTGCTTCTCTGTGTTTGCAAACCCGCACGCACCTGACAGAGTCTCCGAACCAGCGGGAAGGCAGGCCGTGTTGTGAGCGAGCACGAGGCTTTCCAAATGAGTCAGACGTGAGTAAGTAACAGTAGGGAAGTGAAGTAGCAGGCCACGTAATTAATCATCTGTTCCAGGCTCGTCTATATGTGGGAAATGGTCTCTTAAGTATGTAATCTATCTGTTGCGCTGGTAATGAGCGCGAATGATTCGGCATGTTTAGCTTTTGGAAGGAGTGATGAAGCAAATCTGGAAAGATGGAGGGGGAAAACCGCAGGTTTGTAATGAAATGCATCCACATACAACCAGCATTAGCTATAAAGACCACCTCAGAGAGTTTGGGCTGAAAATGAGTTCACGTGCTAAGCTCATGAATTCATGCTTAATAAGAGGAAATCCATACAACAAGCATTCCTGTGAGAAATTATTCCTGCTGTACATTTTGGATTTGTGCCTTCTTAATATATGCCGAAATCTGACCCACCGCCTTTAAGCGACAGCCATTTTGTTAGTCTCCTCTCTCGACTAAGGAGGCAGAGAGAGTGTGAAATTACAACCCCACACAATGCCCCTCTTTTTTCAGATCTCTGAATTAAAATGCTTCCTTCATTCTCCCACTCTGTGTATTCCCTCATCCATCTCCCTCCATCTTGTTGGGCCAACATGCTTGTCCTTAATTTGCCTCCCCTGCACAATCTCTCATTTTCCCTCCCTCTGTGAATCATCTACTTGCATACTACACCCCCTCCCCCATCTATCGCTCACGCTCCATTCTTTTCCCCTCGCTCTCTTTTACATCTATCCTCCTCTCCGTTACACATTCATCACTCGCTCCGTCCTTTTTCTCCTTCAGCGCATTTTGACGTCTCCCGCATCAACTTTCCCATTCTTCTCATCCAGAAAATCAAATTCTGCCCCTCCCTCCTCCCCTCATTACAATATTGTGGAAAACGAGGGGGTAAAAAAAAGTCAACAGATTTAAACAGACAAATCAATCATCAGGTAATAGCCTCTTCATTCCCGAGATCAAGATTACCGGCTGATGAATCAACGCACTCTCACTTTATAGTTTCCTCTAAATGAGCCACTGTCTTTCCAGTACTGAAGGTGTACAATTGCTCAGATTGTTCTGTGTTTTACAGCTTTATGTTTTAACAGATTTCATCTTGCCAAATTATGGGTTAAAGAGATGAACAATTCTCAATGAAAATTCTGTCATCATTTACTCAACCTTCACTTTATTCAAACCAGTTCAAATTTAACAGAAAAGAAGATATTTTGATGAAAACTGGAAGCCTGTATCCATCGACTTGCATAGCACTTGTTTTTCCTACTACACACTACTACAAAAAAGGTACAAAATCTGTCAAAATGTATATTTTGTACAATACAGGTGGACTTTTGTACCATTAAGGTTCACTTGTGTACCTTTAAGGTTCCCTTTTGAAACTTTAAGGTTCACTTTTGTACCTTTAAGGTTCTATTTTATACTTTTAGGTTCCCTTTTGTACCTTTAAGGTTCCCTTTTGAAACTTTAAGGTTCGCTTTTGTACCTTTAAGCTTTTATTTTATACTTTTAGGTTCCCTTTTGTACCTTTAAGGTTGCCTTTAGTACCTTTGGGGTACACTTTTATACCTTTAAGGTTGGTTCCCTTTTGTACTTTTAAGTTACTGAAGTACACATTTGTACTTTTTAGGTTTTATATGTACCTTTTATGGACTTGTTATGAACAAAAATGTACTTTTTGCCCCAGTGACCAATTTGTACCTTAATTTCTGAGAGTGTATGGATGTCAGTGGTAACAGATTTTCAGCTTTCTTTAATTAATCTTATTTAGTGTTCTATTAAACAGGTTTAGAAACACTTGAAGATAAGTAAATAGAGGGTAAACTTAATAATTTTTTGGATGAACTATCCTTTTAATACAGTAGAAATGAAATATTCTTTACTGGCATCAACAATTCCACAAAGAACATTTTTCTTTCCACAAATGGTTCTTTGTTTTATTTTAAAATGTTCTTCTTTTTAAAATGTTCTTTTAACAAGTTTTCACTAATATCTAGTGAAAACTATCTACTGATAATATCTATTACAGTTCAGTTTTTGTCACACTAGACAGAATAAAGAGGAAGAAAGTCAACTTTGGAAGTAAAATTTTGTGCAAGATATTGCTTTTAAAATCCCTTAATAAAACAAATAAAAACTAACAGACAAATAGAAAAATTTACTGAAAAACATTTCCAGTAAGATTTCATTTAGAAATATTTTTAACAACATTAAATTGCATGACACTCCATTGTGTTTAAATATGCAATTCAAAACTTAACAAGTGACTAATGAAAATGTAAGTATTTTGATTTACTCAAAGTAACTAATGCAGAGACCTATGCATTGATTTAAGTTTGACTGTGTATGTGTGTGGACACTGGCACCATTGCTAAAGGCATAAAGAGAGACCTACATTTCCTTCTCCTATGATCCTCTTCATTGTCCAAGAGGCACATACTGTCAGCTCTGAAACAGTATTAAAAGAAAAAGATTACACATCTGAAGTGCCTTTTCCCCTCTTTAATAGTCTAGACTATAGAATAAACAGCAACTTGCACCATTAAAGTAAACAGAACTTGTTATTTAAAAAATGATTATTTACAAACTAATGGCAGAAAAGTGTAATATGTACTGGAACTATAACTTGAAGGGCTTTTAAAGGGATAGTACACCAAGTTTGACTAGCAGGTCATAATGCAACTAATAAAAGATTTCTGTCGCTATTCGTTATTTTGTCAAACAAACAAATCATACAAAACCAAACCATTCTTTGCTATCAGTGGTCGTTCGGGTTTATCATGTGACCTTAATCATGAACTTAAATTATTACTTTGCATATTTCATTTTGAACATCTTGAACAAATAACTGAAACGATTATAATTGTAATAACAATTGTTTGGTCTGCTTTTTGACTGAAATCAATATATTTTTAGAAATTATTCATTTTTTATTTCCACGAGGAGTGCACAAACTTATAGTAACGTTATGGCTAGCAGTGAAAACATGCTGGTCAAACAAATCGTTAATTTTGTCTTTGCAAAATCATCAACAGCTAAGGCCTGATGTGCAACCTGTAAACTAAATAACTGCTGTTAACGTTCTGCATATATTTGTAATGTAATATTTGTCATCAGGAGGATCCACAAACTGCTACACAGAACATTGGTCAGCAGCACAATTTTTGTGTCTACACCATGGACAACAAACACTTAAAAGTATTTAAAGTATTAATATTACATGGAAAAAATAACTTCTTTTGAATAGAGACTATATACTATATAACTGCAGGTTAACTACATTTATATTCTGCCAAACCTTTACACAATTTCCCTTTACACTTTTCTGATTTTGACTGTAATTTATTGATGTGCACTTTTTGTGAAGCTGCTTTGGAACTATAATTGTTGAAAAAAGTGCTATACAAGTAAACGTGAATTAAACTGAACAATGCACCTATAACAGTGCACATGCAAAGGTGTTCACAACTGTGACCATGGCTGTGTTACTATTACAATATTAAGCAAACTGATCATCTTGCATATTTAAAAGGATGGTTTATCTAGAAATTACAACCTTTGCTGGTTCAAAGCATAACTGAGTTTTTCTTCTGATGAACAAAAAAGAAGATTTTTGAAAAATGCTGGTCGCTGGGACCTATCAACTTTCACAGTCATTTTTTTACTACCGAAGTCATTGAGTCCCAGCAACCAGCATTTTTCAAAATATCTTTTTTTGTGTGTTCAACAGAAGAAAGAACAATTAAATAAAGCACTGTAATATAAAATCTGGGTTCCAAACAATGTTGTCCCAAAAGAAATTGGTTAAGTTAACTTACTTGTTTTTACAAACTTAAGTAGTTTGAACATAAAACAATTGACCCCCCCCCCCCCCCCCCAAAATAATAAATAAATAAATAAATAAATAAAAACATAGAAGAATTGTTTTTTAGATCTTAAATAAGTATCAAATAAATAATTTGAACAAGCAGCTTCATTCATTGACAATAAATAGTCACCTTAGAATTATAAGGTTCTATCTGACATTTTTGTCAAAATTGATTTCTAAACTGAGGAGTGTTTGAAAGGAACATTAGGGAATGTTTTTTATGAGCTGTTTACTTAAGACTTTTAATTAAAAAAAATTTATGTTACACATATACTGTTTGCTATGGAATGCAAAAACTTTGAAGCTCAATATCTCAAAACCATTCAGAACGCAGAGATAACTTTGTAATTCCAGGGTGACGAAATCTTGGTGTCCTTTTCATTTTTGGGGGAACTCTTTAAATGACATTCTTCAAGGATGTTTATGTGTGGAAACTAGCTCCCTCAAAAATTCACTCAAAAAAGACATTTGCTGTTTGTTCAAAATACTTCTATAAAATAAGCTGAAACAACACAATTCTTCAGTTTCGTTTTTTTTGTTTTTTGAGGGATAACTTAATTGTTATATGTTCAATCCACCTAAACTTGTAGAAACTAATAAGTTAACTACATTTCTTCATTTTTAACAGTGCTTGATATGTTCAAACTAACCTGCCAGTAAAACCTCAACCAAGTATAAAGGACGTAATTTGCTATTAATGTTCAGAAAACAAGATCATATCTCCTTTATTTAAAAATAATGGGTAGTGTTACTTCTGCGGTACATGTAAATCTCCATCATCATCTTTGGAATTACATTTCAAGAGAGACAAAAGTTGGTAAAATAACTGGTTAATTAGCTAATTAGCAACATATAAAAATTGTTTTGCACAAATCTAATGTAACTCAATTATAAGACTGAATATAGTAAAGTACAGTGCTCAGCAAATATAAGTTCACCCGTCACAAATCTATTTTTTTAAATACATTTTTTTCAATAGGAAGATATACAATATTATATTTGTGCATATACATAAGATTAGTCAGTAGTGAAGACAAATCTGGAGCTAATCTAACAAAATAACTTACAATAACGCTTCAAAAACTAGTACATCCAAATTTATATTATAAAAAAAATATTTAAAACAAATTTAAAAAGAGGAAAACATAAAAAAAGAAAGAAATAAAATGAAAAATTTTGTTAAATTTTGTTTGTATTGTCTTTCAATTTCTAAATATGTTTGGTGACTAAAATATGATTTTAATAAATATATCTGTTTAATAAATCTGTTTTGTTTAAATGCACCAAAAATACATTGCCTATATTTACTGAGAAATGGATAAAACTATTATTGTTCAAAATGGGGTGTACTCAATTTATGCACTTTATATGTTCAGCACATGTAGACACAAGGTTTACTGACACAAATCTGTAAGGGTCATGATGTTGATTATTTGCTGTATTCAACACAAGGCTGAACACAAACTGACTGCTAGATTAACATTACAGTCAGGTGGCCTTTGGGCCAATGAAAGCTGCGATGGAGTCCAGACCTGCCATCAATCTGAAGGTCTGGCAAACTGACACTCTGCAGCCCTCAAGCAAGAAATGACAATCCAGCAACCTGGTGACCTCCAGCAATAAAATCACTGTCAGTACAAATGAAGTTTACTCTCTTTGCTTGGGACGTTTCTTTTGGATCCGTCTCTCTCTCTCCTTCTCTTACACGGCATGTCAGTATCTGCATCTTGCTGTGAGACATGATGTTAGGTATTAGCCCCTCGCTGTGTACCTGTCAGTGTCTTGTCTACCCGTCTCCAGCCTTTCTCTTTCCAGCAACCTCCCCTTTTGACACCTCGCTCTGTCTCTACTCCCCATCACTCTTTATGTCTAACCACGCGCATCTGTTTCCTCCCTCCCTTTCTCTCTCTTTCCCTTTCTCTCTCCTGTTGTGGTGATCAAACGTGCCGTGTGTCTCTCTGCAGTGCTGTGTGATCAGAGTGGAGAGTGAGCACTAGAGAGACACGCTTGCAGTGTGTGTGTGGTTGTTTCTCGGAGACCCGAGGAACATGCTGTCCCCTTCTGGCTGGGAATACTAAAGGCACAATCCCACAGCTGCTGCCTTTGTGTCTCCAGCCCCTGACCGCACTTATATAAGCCCAGACCACAAAGCCAACTGTCCAGAAATGCTCAAATTCAGCATCTCTATGCGAGCGATTCTAAAAGTCAGGGATGAGAGGTGATACAGAGCTTTGTTGTGTCTGGGTTTTTGTTTGTTTTTGTGGACGGATCAGGATTCTGAGGCTCATGATCTGGGATCTGTTCTGAGCTCTGGGTCAGGCAGAGTTTAGACTAGTACACAGAGACATGAAACCTGAATGGTAACTTGAATAAGATTAGTATTAGGGGTGTCAAAATCAATCATTACTAATGTCAGTGTTTCCTCTAGGATTTTTTCTAGCTGTGGTGGCAGGCCTTTTACACAGGTCTTCCAACTACATATGGTGTTATTTCAATTACAAATGTCGAGAACGAAGTATTACAAGTGGAGATTGCATTCATGTAATACAAGCATGAGAATCTCTTTGCTTGCTTGCCGATTTTCTCTGTTTGTGCTCAAAACATCTTGCACGGCCTTAAATAAACGTTGCTGAAGTGCTATTTAGTGCGTTTATGTAACAAGTATGTCTCCAACATTTATTAAATTTGCTGGGATTATTCATGAATGTCTGTAGACTTACAGAGCGACGTTGATGAGTCCTGAAGTAAAGTGAAACGGCTATAAACTCCAGCAAGATAAAGTCATTGTACTGTATGCAGAACCATAGACCTTTATCTTTAAATAAAGTATGATTATGGAAGCTGTGTTTTTCATAACTGAAAGCTACGTCATGCTATTTCACTTTACGCTTATCCCTGTCAGTCAGCATGTAACCTTAAAGCGTTCAACAAATAATGCACAGCACTACTACGATTGCAGAAAAGTTTGCTGTTTTAATTCATTTACCTTTTATTATGTTTTGGTGTGATTATAACCCGCTACAAAAACAAAACAGCACCAACTGAATGTTTTGATTGGGAAGCTGTGGCATGGGACGATAACCATTTTTAAGGTATTCACCTTATTCTGCGCCGACGAGCGGGTGTTGCCATTTCAATCTTTTTGGCTTGAGACTTCCGGTCTCATTCACTTCCATTCAATTTTTGACGTTAAAAACTGCTCATTACGCTGTTTGATGTTGCAATTTGATATTTTCTTATTATATTATTCTACTTGGTCTGTATAGTCATGCAAACATTTGTTTGTAGAGCAAGTAGTTTGACCATTTTCTGCCGTTTATTATTCCTATTCATTTCTCCTATGTGCGACTGAATTGGAAGTTCTAAGACAATCGTGAAAACAGGCGCACTTCCGCATTTTAGAATAAGGTCAATACCACGGTTTAAAAAAATTTTTACGTTTACATTTTTTTGTTTTGTATTTAAGGACAACAGTATCCCCAGCAGAAAAAAATTCTAAATATGCCGTTTTAAATTGTAAAAGAAATCTGTGTTTTTGAAACTAATAAAGACAGCAGAAGTCAATGATTCATTTGCATTGTTTAGCCTGACATCTCTACTGCTCCAAAAATTAAATATTTTGTGTTCAAAGGGGAAAAAGTTTCTGTTTTTTACCCCAAACATTTAAAAAGAGTATGTTTAAAAGCAGTAATCACAATACTGTGATACCGTGGAACCGTGATATTTTTATCCAAGGTTATCATACCGTCAGAATCTTATACCGGCCCATGCCTAGCTGTGGCAGAAATTAATTTTGGTGTGGTGCCAAAATAGAATAAACTTAGTGGAAACCATGAACGTGCATTAAAATATGTCGTTTTAGCATCAATAACGCAACGTGATCATTCGCAATAGTCACATTTCAGGTTATGCAATGTTGAAATTGTACCATTTGTAACTTTAATATTGATTAGTTCTACTGAATTATTTCAGCGAAGACTACACAGCATTATTTTGCATTTGATTATTCAAGTACTGAACACTGTTAGACTCCTGCGGAAAACAAAACATTGTTTATTTAATTTGTATCTTGTAGATATGTTTGTACATTTGTGTTTATTATAATTTATGCATATGCACTCCCCTCATTCCAATCAATCTAAAATTTGAAAGTATTTACAAATAGAGATATTCAAGTCATCTAGTGAATATCGCAACATTTCTATCATAAACAACAAAATATCACAATGTCAGATTTTTCTGATATTGTGCAGCACAAATGTAGTGCAGTACTGATGGTTTTCTGACATAATTTGTCATGGTTGCAAACTATGGCAAATGAGGCGAGACTGTAACGAAACAGCTCCATGCCACTCACCCACCAAGCGCTTTCCTTGATCAGGTCAAATTTAAGGTTCAGTTCAAATGTCTGATAGCTTGTATTCAATGACAACATTGTCAATATTCATTTATTTTCTTTTCGGCTTAGTCCTTTTATTAATCTGGTGTCACTCTGGTGTCACCACAGCGGAATGAACCGCCAACTTATCCAGCATATGTTTTACGCAGCAGATGCCCTTCCAGCCGCAACCCATCACTGGTAAACTTCCATACACACTCATTCACACACATACACTACGGACAATTTAGCTTGCCCAATTCACCTATAGCACGTCTTTCGACTTGTAGGGGAAACCGGAGCACCCAGAGAAAACCCACACGAACATGGGAAGAACATGCAAACTCCACACAGAAATGCCAACTGACCCAACCGAGGCTCGAACCGGTGACCTTCTTGCTGTGAGGCGATTGTGCTACCCACTGCGCCCCCACGTTGCCACACATTGTAAACGAAGTAAATTTAAAAAGATAGAATTGCACTGACATGATAATTGTAATCTAACTGAATTATGAGAGCAGTGTAGGTTTATACCCCTAACTACTAATTAGTATACTAAATTTTATAGTAATTTAAGCTTGCTTTAAAGGTTGTGTGTGTACATTTTTATGCATGACAATAATATAAATATATACATATAAATATATAAATGTACTCATGCTCTAATGAAAAGCTATATTTTGCAGAATGGCTCCAACCCCTTTGGCCGTGATTTATTGGAGTACCTTTATGCAGATTAAATGATTAGCACACAATCCAAAGCCAAGAATACATGTATCATTAAGTGGCAATTTAATAAATGCTGTGCTAACTTGTTTTGATAAGGGGGTGGTCGGTCACTTAGAACAAAAAACTGTAAATTAACAGGTTCTTATTTGGTGTTTAACAATTATATAGCTACAGTTTTTAATACCATTATGGGGCCTTAAAAGGCACAGTATGTAATTTGTGCGAGGGTGCATTTTCACAACAAACAAAGGCATATTTTGATAATGCTGAATGAGTGTGGCATCATGGGACTTGTGGTCTTCGTTTTTATATGCTACAGGATTCCTGCGGCTAATGTATTCAATAATTATTATCATGTTTGTATAAAGCAGAGTAAATGAAACTAGAGCGCTGAAGCCATTGATGATGAGGGAGGAACGCCACATTACACAAAAGCACTGCAGCGGAGCTTTTATTATGCCAAAGTCAGCCTCTTCCAGTTGTGATCACATGGTAGAGAAGCAGTGGCGTTGTTTTATACCAGGGGTCACCAAACTTGTTTCTGGAGGGCCAGTGCCCTGCAGATTTTAACTCCAACCCTAATCAAAATACACCTGAACAAGCTAATCAAGGTCTTACTATGTATACTTGAAACATCCAGGCAGGTGTGTTGAGGCAAGTTGGAGCTAAACCCTGCAGGGACACCAGCCCTCCAGAAACGAGATTTGGGACCCCTGTTTTATACTAAAAACTTTTTAAGGTTCTGTTATAAAGCTGTGGTCACACTAGAGTTTCTGTAGTACAGCACTGCAAAAAGGGGCGAGATTAAACAAGATACTTAGACATTTAAAAAGTCAAAATTTTACATTTCTATTCAAAGAGGTCATGTTTTGATCCTTGATTGGTCTCACATAGTCAAGCGATGCGATTTTGCAGGTCGGAGTTCACCTAGGCTGAACTTTGCAACACAGCGAACTGAGAAACTTGTCGCACGAGTTTGCGTTTCCCATCTGACGCATTCGCGTGCAAAAGAATGGAAGTCTATGGGGAGAAAAGTCCAGTGTGACCGCAGCTTAATTCTGTTCTGTCCAGTCTGATAAAGCACACAACATATTAGAACATCTTTGGTGTTTTCTATTTTCAAAACAAACAAAGGCATAACTGTGGAATCATGGGAGTTGTGGTCTTCGTTATTACATCTACAGGATGCTTGCAGAAAAGTTTGTGGACAAGCTAACGTATTCAAAAATGATTATCATGGTTGTAATAAGAAGCACAGTAAACGAAACTAGAGCGCTGTAGCCAGTGATGATGAGAGATAAACACATAACACAAAAGCACTGCAGTGGAGCTTTTATTATGCAACAGTTAACCTCTTCCAGTTGTGATCCCATGGTGAGGAAGCAGTGGCGTTTTATACTAAAACCGTTTTAGGGTTCTGTTAGAATACTTTTCTGTGCAGTCAGATAAAGCACACAACATATTAACTCTTTGATGCACTACATGGGTCTAAAGAGACCCGTCTAAGTTTATATGTTCTATATCTATTTTAAAGCTTGTGCATTAAAGGATTAAAAACATTGGTGTTTCCATGTTTTCTAAAAAACCAAACCACAGGTCGAGTGTGCAACATTAGCATGGCAACACAGGACACAATCCATGTCACTAGTTAAAATTGCTAATTTCTCTAAATTTTAACTTCCTTTGAAACATTTGGAAAAATGTAAGTCAGCAAAATATATAACACTACTCTAATGCTTTTTGGATATTTTAAAGAAAACGTATACGTTTGTGCACTGATATGGTGAACCACAGGGTGAAGTGATAATAGCCCATATGCTTTTTCACGAAACACAGTTATTGACCTGGCTGTCAGCATAATAAATACTCTATTTAAACCTGATGTCTTTCATCATAGCTAAATTAAATGCACCCACTGGTAACCATTCATAAATTAAACTGCCAACGACAACTTGTGTAGGACAGGGAACTAATGATGGATACTCGTGCTACTTTGGTAATTTAATGAATGTAAATGATGACAAAACAACAACAAAATCAGCTCTCTCACTCACATAAATGGAAAAGATGAACAGCCTGTGGCTAATTAGTAGTTTTATCACCCACTGCTCAGCGCGATGACCAGTCCTTCGTTCCCTGTGTTTGTGTGTGTGTCTATCTCCACATGTAGACAGGCGGTCCTGCGGTTGTGCACCACTCGCCCTCTAGTGGGGCAGCGAGAAAGCACGCGCAGGGCCTGTTTGTCTTCTGTTCAGGAGTCTGGTGATGATGTTGCTGGCTTTAAGAATGCTGTGTCCATAGGAACCAGCTCGGAATACTGATTCCACAGTGCAGCACTTGTGCATCAGGGCTGCAGTCTGGCTGACTTTAACCAAGGATTGTCCACTGTCTCTATGTCCCCATCGCCTGATGAAAATAAAACACATTTGTGCGCAGGATATTCAACGGTCATAAAAGCAAACATATGACAAGATTTTAAAAAATTAGATGGATGAAGGTATTTAAATTGTGTTGTTGCGATGGAATGTATTAAGAAAATGTTCAGGTGGTTCCAAGACCACCCCTCACTGACGATGTCCAGAATTTGTCCCATACATGAGCTCATTTGTCCTATTTCGACTGCTTTGCGATTATAAATAGTGAAAACAACCTATTGAAAAGGGTTTTAAGAGCAAGTTGAATCCTCTGTCGTCTGTTGCTTTGGTGTGACTTCAGCTAATCAGTTTTGGCTAATGCTAACAAATATTTTCCATGACATCTAGCTGTGCAAGAAATCATATGAAGTGAAGTCATCTTTCACAACTGTATTGTTTTTAAATATTTCACAAGTAACTTTTATCTAAGTCTTGCAACAAAACATGAACAATAAAAAGGTGTGAAGCACTAAAAGCGGCCGATATTAAAATTTCTTTTAAACAGTTTTAGGTATTGTTATTATCCATGTATTTTCAAGTGTACTTTTTTGGTTGTGATGACCATCCGACCACCTATTTCAGCTAAAGTACTTAAAGTACTTAAAATTTCACTCAAAAGTAGTATTTAAATCTCATAATTAAATAGTAGCCTAAATGAGGCCTAGAAGCGCAAAAGGATCCACTTTTTGAGACAAAAACAGCCACCCGTTTTACCAGGCTGCCTACAGGCCTGAGAAAAGAAATAAACAAACAAACAAATCAAAGAAAATAGATGTGAATATTATGACAATCTTAAACATAATTAGTTTTTATTCATTTATTTTTTTTACAAAATGTGAGTAAATCCATTTCTACAAAAGCAACAAGTTAGTAAAAAAACTAGTAAAACCACTGTAGCTTGGAAGTATTGACATTGACTGTTATTATTATATATAATTATAATATAATATATTTTCATATGTATGTACTTTTTATTTGATGCCATGTCAGCAACCAAGGCTATTTTCATGGCAAGAACATTTCAATAATAAATATACAGTTAAAAACAGCAAACAAATGAATACATACATTAAATAAATAAGATTTTTTGTGTTACTCATTCATTCATTCATTTTCCTTCGGCTTAATCCCCTTATTTATCAGGAGTCGCCACATCAGAATGAACCACCAACTTATCCAGCATATGTTTTATGCAGCAAATGCCCTTCCAGCTGCAACCCATCTCTGGGAAACATCCCTACACACTCATACACTGGACAATTTAGCCTACAATTCACCTGTACCACATGTCTTTGGACTGTGGGGAAACCGGAGCACCTGGAGGAAAAACGTGAACACGGGGAGAACATGCAAACTCCACACAGAAACGCCAACTGACCCAGCCGAGGCTCGAACCAGTGACCTTTTTGCTGTGAGGCGACAGCACTACCTACTGCACCACCGCGTCGCCAGTGTTATTCATACAGAATAAAAATTCTACATTTTTCGTGGTGTCGCTTTGTTAAAAATGTCCTAGAGAGATTTAATTTCATAAAAAAAGCCATCTGAAATCATTAAAAGCAGGACAGTGCAGTAAAATGTGTATTAAAATTAAAGAGAATTGGGCAGTACAAACATAGGGTCTTCATCTTTAAACAAAGCGGTATGGGTTAATCTTGAATGTCCAATACGACATCTGATAAAAAATCACTTGATCAAATCTAGTCTTAAAACTCTGTTTGAGATTTCAAGTTGCATTTCATATAATTTATTATTTTCCAATACATCCCACTCCTCTTGCCATTAATTTAAAATGTAAACGCTGATAAAAGTTCTTATCTCTGAAGGAGGAATTTGGCATTTGTTCACCACATTTGTTCACACTCATTTCCTGAAAGCCCAACATGAACCCACCCAACAATACATTTTTATAATTATGCACATAGTTCATTTACTCACTTTTAAAATAAAAATGAGCTATCGCTTTTTATAGAACTAAGCAAAATGTCTGTTTTTACAGGGGTTTTTTTCTTCTTATTTCTATATTTATTTATAACAAACTGTAGGAAACAGCAATGCAAATCAACCAATCAATAAAATTACATACGTGAATGAATGACAGAATTTCAATACAGAAATATTATATGACCATTTTAAGCAATCTGCTCACAGATTACACAGGAGTGGACAGTGATTTGGGGGCAATCCCACGTTAGGTGCCCTGATGGAAGTCAAAACATTCTCTTTCTCTATTGATTTTTTATTTTGTTTTGTTTTTAAATAAACTGCATGTTAAAAAATATATCTTAAGTGGAACCTTTATCTTCTTACTGTAAAATTAAATACAATAAATTCACAAACTATCTACAGTTTTTAAGCCATATTTGTGATTAGATTTTAATATTTGCATGTGCAGTATAAATGGAACATTCCACAAATCATGTTAAGACAATTCATGTTTATTTATTAAGTTATATTGTTAAAATCTTAGTGGTTATAGACAGATATTACAACACATGATAGAAAATTTATAAAAGAGCTATATGATTAATATAGGCTTCTTGGCATTGGTCGGGGCCCCCTAATTCTCCGGGACCCTAAGCGGCTGCTTACCTCGCTAAGTCCACCCCTGCATTTACATTCCTATGTCACAATAAACTTTTTCCTAATTTTCTGACTAAATAATACCATTGTCATTTATGAAGGAAAGTACTGTTTTCTAGGGGTGATCACGGTTGATCCATGATTTGTACGGATCACAACCCACAGTTCAGAACACACATGGCCCGCAGATTAATGCTTTTTTTTTATAGTAAATTAATCCTAAATTTGTAATTATCGCAGAGAGATTGCCTATCGTGTCATTCAAATCACATGTATGAAAACATTTAAGCTTTCCTGTAAAATATAATGATGACAAAAGAAGTTGTGGTAGGTTATTCGGGATGTGGTGGGTCTCATTAAAGGTGTTTTTTGTCACTACTTGTTTAACCTGCATCATTGAAAGATCGGTATCTCAACACCCACACAACAAACTATAAATGATGGAGATTTGCATGTTTATTAATCGCTGCATTCACATCTGAAAATGCAAAAATCAAGAAAGAGATTGAGTCTTTTGTCTTTTGAGTTACTTATGAAGTTACAGTCAAATAACACAGAAGTACTGAGATAACAGTTTATAATTTAGATAGATAAAACAACTGATGTTTATGGTAAAGATTAAAATAACTGTCATTTGCATTTAACGACGCTCAAAAATTTAAATTGTAAGCAGCAATTTACATTATTGAACCGTTAGGTGGAGACAACTAGCTGTCAAAAATATGCCACTGAATAATTCCTTAAAAATGACACAATAAAGCATATAAAACATGAAGTTTTATGAGTGAATAACTGAATCATTTATTGATAAGGAGACTAAAAATAAACATGGTTGTTCAAATTATAATGTTAGATTTATACATTTATAGCGTTGTCAACAACAGTAGTAGTAACAGTGAATTTTTCACAGTACAGAACATTTCAATTTATTTTTATTTAGCGGAATATTTCTTCATTTTATTTTTGAATAAAATTACAGGTTCTAAGTTCTGTTTGTTAAAACCAAAAGTTTCTTGCAGTACTGCTTTTGTAATAAATGGAAAGCAAATTATATTTGTCTCCTCCCTCTTTTGGCTGATTCAAAAAATGGTTCGATCCACGACTAATAAAACATAATTTGATCCAAACCGTGAGATTTGTGATCCGTTACACCACTATTGTCGTCTAAATGGGAGATGGCTGGACAAGAATGGCAGTTAAGTGGGGTGTGAGGGAAAGAAGTAGACAGTTGATGTTTCAAAGGTGAAAATAAGCAGACCAGATATAAAGAACATTATAAACATGTGAAGTGAAGGAAAGGGTGCTGTCAACAATGACACCCAGACTCTTAACCTGAAGGGAGACCGAATTTTCATTGGGAATAAAAAAAACCATGTGATTTGTTATAGTGGATCGTGTACCTATGAGAAGAGTTCAGTTTTTTTATGATTTAATTTTAGGAAGTTCGAGGCGACCTGGGATTTAATGGCAGTTAGAAAGTGATGATGGTGGGAGTTTGGTGTTGGGTTTAGTTGATAGCTGGGTGTCATCTGCATAACAATTCAAAGTTATCCGGTGTTTGTTGGAAATATAATCCAGAGGGAGAAGGTAAACTGTAAAAAGCAGGGGACCAAGAACCGAACCCTGGGGCACACCAGTAGTGACAATGACTGATAAGTTAAATGATTTTGATTGAATAAACTGAGTGTGTATAAAGTATAAATAAAGCTCCCATGCAGCATGATGTCTTTGTATTGTGCAAGTGCTCTCGGACTTCATTAGACATCATTGTGGTTAAAGACATGGTCATATGTTAAGGCATTTGTGCATTACAACTTCGACAAAATAATTCAGGACAAACTTTCTTCATTTCAACACAAAAAAAAATACTAGGATATAACATTATCTTTATGCATGAATCATGACATATACAAGCAATGACATCATCAAGTGTGCTAACAGACTAACCATCACGTTTAGAGAACATAAGGTAGTGAAGGGTAGCTATGATATGAGAGCAGAATAGAGCAGAAGATACAGCAGTGTGGGGAATAGCTGGATGCCATGTCAGAACTCCTTATGTAAGTCCACAGTGTAGAGAGGAGAACGACACACAGACTCGCCCCTCGGCCACATACAACATGTATAACATAACTTCAGCCCTTTCGTCCCTGTGCAATGCTCTTTACTATACGCTCCATTAGGTCTAATACTAGTCTTGAATCAGAAATCAGGTGAAAAAAAAATGGGGTCTCCATACTAGTTAATAGTTTTGCTAAATAAACACAGCTGATTTAAGCTTCAAATTTACATACGGAGCAAAAATAAAATCCATCTAGACATCATTTCTTGCATGTCATAATCTTTCTTTCTCCAGGTTAAGTGCTTGATTTGTAATATTAAGTACTGTATTTTATTGTTTTAACGAAACCTTTTCAATAGACGCTTTTTATTAGGGGTTAAATTAGCAAATTAGTCAAATTAGCTGTGGACATGAGCAGAAAGAACAAGACTGTACAGATGTCTGGGCAAAATGGTGCTTGATGCTTGACTTTTAATGTCTGGTAATCTTGTCTTTTTCTAATTGAAATAGTGTAACAAAGGAGCTCCGTTTCTGAAGTAGAACTGATTTTTACATATTTCTAATGCTTAAATTTTGGGGTTTATTTAATTTAATAAATCTGTTTTATTTATTTGAGGAGCCATTCAAAATCTTTCTTTCTCAACCTTCCTTTAGGGCTGCCACAGCAGAATAATCTACACAGTCATTTGGTAGAGAG